TCATAATATAAAACAATGTTAATTTTATTAACATTGACATTAAATAATCGTCATGTTAGAAGACCATAATTAAACATTATTAATGCTCATCAACATCAACCTCATTATAATTAACACCATTATTATTTCATTTTTATTCTATTTTTAAGTTTATTCATTTTGGCAAGGAAATAGTTCATAAGGTCTGCAGGAACACTATTCCAAATTCGATCGAATCGAGTCGTATTTTGTGTTGTCATTTTGGGAATTAATTGTTAAATTGAGTAACTCAGGACGACGGCTATACTTTTTTAGAATACTGTTACAAAACTTTCAAAGGATACCGGTATAATTACAGAATTTAAATTTTACAAAATAATCTCTGAAATAATTAATTAAGTAGCGCTTAAATATTGGAACAATGGTAATTGAAATGATCAACTATAAAACCCTGTCCAGTTTATCCCATATTATTTGACAAAAACATATGACATATGGTCATCATGACATCACATCTTGACCACATTATAGGAACATACATCATAAGCATACAACAGTGTGTGAACAGGGCTTTTTTACAGAATACAAAAATACATATAGGCCCTATGCTATGTTCTCACACGGCTGCTAACGGTTAGCAGGATCCGGATCCTGCTAACCGTTAGCTGCCGTGCGTCCATACGAGAAAATCCCGATCCGGATACCGACAATGATGATCGAATCACTGGCCAATAAGAAACTGGAAATTGTAAACGCGTACGTGTGATTGGTTGATGATAGAAACGTGCTCATTTTTGCTAACCGATAGGCTTGCTAACCGTTAGCGGTATCCGGATACTGCTAACTATTATCGCTAACCGATCGGGCGTTCTCACGCAGGTGCTAACGGTTAACACTAACGGTTAGCTCCCGATTCGGATACTAGGGCTCCCGTGAGAACCGGGCTATTTATTTCAACTTACTGTACATACACAGATAAAATAATATACAGTATAACTCAATGTAATATACATAATATATGTAGACTGTAAACATATATAACTTAATAGCGAAGACAAAATTATTTACGTCATACATAATGTCCAATCCACTACATTTGTTTCGCATTGTCAGCAGCTGGGCCAAGTACACAGGTGAATATAACAACTGATAAGATCTCTAAAAGAATGTTTGCATATATCGCTAAATTGAAAGTACAGTAGTTGTAATTTCATAGTACTACAGTGTTTCAAAATTTAGATATAGGAACTATTTATCTATCAATGGTTGCCAAACGGTAATGTTAGCTTTAATGTTATTAGAATACGTTGTACATTTTCTTATATTCCATTCAATTGAATATACGGTCTATATGAGTTTAAACATACTCAGTTCTGTGTATTTGAAAGTACGAAACGTTATTTCTACTACTTTTTTAAGTCTTTACGTAAGACTAATCATCGCTTCTCTTGACAACAATGTTTTCTTATCAAGTTCAGTACTTCATCGTTGCTTCATCATAACTAAACTGTTCTTCCTAAAGTTACATAGGAATTGACTGCATTCTTTTTTAATTTCTAAAATGTAAAAAAAAATATATATATAAATATACAGTATATATATATATATAGATTAACTATAACATAGTTGCAACATACTTTCTGCTAGGAATGTTAAAGCAACACTAACTTTTTATTTAATTATACCTTTTCATATCTTGTTTATTATTGTAGCAGGCCTCTGTTGTCTAGCCAGTTTCCAATAGGCATGATATCACATGTACCACCATCTAATAATTTGGTTCGATACAGCAATTATATTGTGGCATTTGTCATTTTAAATCATTAACATTTATCCAAAGTTGTATTTTATTGTAATCATAATTTATCTTGTTAAACATAATTTGGTAGTCATTATTCATTTTTTTTTTGCCCACTCAATCATAAAACCCTTCTCGGAACCATGACATAGGCTTTAGGTGGCCCCTTGGTTCGGACCACTGCAGTATTTTTTCGACCGTTTGTGGGCAAATTTCTTGAACCACCCCTGGCTTACCATATAAATGCAGTAAACCAAGATGATGACAATTATTCCAAGGACTCCTCCGAGACTAACAACGGTTGCCAGTCGTAAACGGGTACCTTTTAAGACAGAATAAGATTTAAAAATATAATTTCATTTCTCGTAAAACTATGATTATGATTTATTTATGATAATTAAAACAAATGATAATATTCTAATGATAATAATAATAATGACAATAATAATGTTAATCAATCAATCAATTAATCAAGCATGATAGTATATTTTATAATAGTAGGCCTAATAATTGCACTAGCAATAATAATATTTCAGTATAATAATGAAGAGCAGCAGCAACAATAGCAACAATAACAATAATAATAACAATAACTAGACTTACTATGTCTGTTTGAACAACAGAACATAGGGATTTTCTCCATTGCTTTAATGTGAAATAAAGTTAAAATTGCAACAAAAAGAAAAGTCGTTAAATAATATAAAGTTTTAAAAAACACGAAAACCAATTAAGTGGAAAAATGAATTAAAAAAAAAAAAAACGAATGGCTCCGATGGTATTAGCGAGATATCGTGACACACATAACCATTGCGGGCTATATCAGTGCCGACCTTGCATAGGAAAGTGTATTTTCAGTTCATAGTAATTGTTCATGCATATTACGGTATTTTGGAGTTTAACCAAGCTGTAACTGGTTTAAGCGCTTTAGAAAACGCCAATTGCGTTTAAATAATTTAATCAACTGTCAACAAAGAAAATCTTTAAATGGTCCTTATATCCACACCCTTCAGCGGATCGACACCGAAATTGGAGAATTTTTCATTTCACCATGAAAAACTATCCTGCAAAGTGTTATTTTTATCCATCAGATTTGAAAGATTTAGTCTGGGACGTTTTCTTTTAAATGGCCCTCATATTCACACCCTACGCCGGATCATCACAAAAATTTAATAATTTCTTTACTCGACCTTGATAAACTGTTACACAAGGTTTAATTTATACCCATTGATTTTTTAAAAAGAGATTTACGCCCGGGTCCTCAAAAATTGAAATGACCCACACATTTACACCATTGACTGATTCGTCGCCAGCACATAATAATTTCTTCCTTGTAACTTGGTTAAACTTTTTCCGAATGTTTCATTCAGATCAGTTGATCCGTTTTCGAAATATATGGTCTGACGGTTTCCTTTAAATAGTCCTCAGATCCACACCAATACTGCGGATCGTCACAAACATTTAATCATTTTTTACAAGACCTTTACAGTATTACAGAATGTTTCATTTCCCCATTGGTTTTTTTTTTTTTTTTTTTTTTTTTTTTAAAGATATTTAGGTCTTGGTCCTCAAGTATTGAAAAGACCCTCAAATTTACACCCTTCACTGGATCGTCACCAACACATATAAATTTCTTCCTTGTAACTTGATTAAAAGGCTAGTACCAAATACATTCCTAATCATTTATATTAAATGAATGGTAGCCGTTTATTATGAAGTATTTTATCATAATTATTCAATAATTCTTTAAGTGATGTTTACCGTGAATGTCTTTAACATCAATTGTCGTTGTAAATGTGATATGTTCTAAGCGGTTCTTGCACACGCAGTAATAGTCACCTTCATTTGCGTTTGAAATATTATGTAAACTATACCACTTAGTTCCATTCTGTATCACTCGGTCACCTTGGTACCACGTGATCGACGGCTCGGGATAACCATTGCAAAGACAGATGAGGTCAACGTTGTTGGCTGGTCGCGTCACAATCGACTTCAATGATGTTTTTTTTAATTTCAAAGGAACCTTATCTGTGAAATGTGAAAGAAATTAATGTATGCTCGCAATGCAAAATTAACAATGGATACCCACCTACAGTTAGGTTTAAGACACTGTATAGGCCTACACGCGTTGTTCCATTGGGATTTGAAACCCAAGACATTCCGCTTGGATAATAAACCATACATGCAACCTATTTTATTTTATTTAGTGGTCATATTGGTTTTTTTTTCACGACGTTCACATACTAGAGGGTAAGGCCGGGTAATTTATTGTACTGGGAAAACGTTTTTAATATATTTAGCCTAAAAGGTGTGGTGATTTTTTTGTCGCTCCAAGTTGACATTATGGTATATTACAATAACACTGAAATATGCACTTGAGTGATCAGCTAAATGTAGCTGCAAGTTCAGTTACTGGTTGATCAAGCTTAGAGGTTTTGTGTATGTTTGTATTTGTTATAAGGACGGAGAGATTTTTTTTCTCCGATATATTGTTTAAATAAATGAAACTTTTGGTGAGACAATGAAGAGCATGGTTTGCATGATGAACCACAAATGTAACTGTCGGAATTATGGTTGTCGCAATAGTTAATTTGCATCTTGAATTTAGAACTTACTGATATATCACGAATGTTAGGTTGTCTGCGATAGGCTAATAACGGTGTTAATGAAAAACAGACCTGAGACGTTCTGTGGTCGGTAGGATTATGGAGGAATTGGTTTAGATTGTTCTGAATAATGGGCAGTGGTGATTGCCAATCTCTAATATTGTGGTCTAAAAGCACAGTTGTTGGCTATAGGCCTACGAAAGCCATATAAACTCTCATCAAGACTCCAGTCAGCCCCTTGGTTCGGACCCAACTGTCGGACATCTTGGACCGCTCGTAGGTAAATCTTTGGATCCACCACTAAACCTAGGGCGATAGGTAGTGACCAGTTAGTAAGTGTCACTCACCTTTAATATTGACTTCAACAGATACATTTACAATACTCGGCATGATATACTCTTCATCAGCTTGTGCTACACAATAATAAGTTCCGCTGTCTTCGACCTTTGCGTTCTTTATTATGTGCATTGCTGACAAAGACGCGCTGTCTGGACTGGTGCTTGTTGTACAGTTTAGTCCATGTCTTAGGCAGTGAGTGGAATTAAGACAACTTTCACTACTGTGTTTATCACAGAACCACATTTTCAGTTTGTGGAGATTCTCCTTCTAAAAAAATGATAATACGTAGGCATATGGTATTATTTGCAGGATAAAGTAGGACGCATTTGATATGCAATTTCTATTACTATATTGGGACCGTTTTTGCGGAAAAATAGAAAAGAAATTACCACAAAAAAATAACTACTTTCCATATAACACCTACATTTTCTTCAAACACAAGTAATTTCCCCACAATACAGGCCTAACAACAATACCATAAAACACCAACATACTTTCCAGAGGTATCACATAGTTGAATAGATGTATTTGTCAGTAAATACAGTATAAGAAATCAGATGGTAGCACTTTTTCGACTAACGATGTAATTTTATTCAAAAGCTTTCTCCCTAAACCCATGAACCCCATCATTTAGGGCAAAACTCGTGAACTAAATTATATCTTTAATCAAAAAATACTAACTACTGATTTTATATTTACTTTCAGTGGTATTATAGATATTATTTGTATTTGCTAGCGTTTTCAATAAATTTTACAATACTCGCAAAGCCAACTTTTTTCAATTTGGACTAAATTCTTAAATCATTTTGTTCTGGTCTTGTGACTAAAACACAAAGCCAATCACATCTTTAAAGTAGTGGACGGCTACATAATTAAAAGAGGTAAAACGTGTGCTACAATAGGACAAAAATCTCCAAGAATAACGAGACATACATGAGCAGTGTGAGTAGTGTTGCTTAGTCTGAAAAACCTTCGTCCACTCCTCGACTTTACTCTCATGCAAAAGTATACATAACCAATTTCAAATGATTTTTAGCCGATAAATCATTAAAGTTTCAACCTGTCTCTCTTCCGAAACTTACCTGTAATATGACCTTACTGACGTGACATTCAATTATTATGTCTTCTCCGCTGATATGTTCATACTTGTTAGTAAGTGAAACAATTTCAATTTTCAGTGGAAAATCTGTTGGACGATCAAGGTGAACCAAGTTTACTTAAATATTGTATGTAATTACCGTAAAATCTCAAATAAAAGCCAAGGGCCTCTTATTCTTATTATTTGTTTTTTGGACCATTGGATGGGCTTCTTTTCGAAGTGGCCTCTTTCCAAGAAGGGCTTCTTTTAGAGATTACTAAAGAGGAGGGCTTCTTTTCAAAATGAATGCTGTAAATTTTGGAATTGCTACTATACGACATTTTTCAAATATAACATTCGAAATTCTGTTTAATATTTTTTTTTAATGCGAGTACAATAAATTAATATTGATACGGAGACGCTATCATAATTATCAAAGATAACATCAGTAGGAATGTAAGTATTTCGAAAGAACCCTTATTATTGATCAGAAGCCCATGGGCTTCTTTACGAAATGGACGTCTTTTCGAGATTGCTTTTTTGCAACCTAAAGAAGGGTGGGGAATTCTTTTCTAAATGGGCTTCTTGAGGTTTCTAATCGAGGTTTTACGGTATATGTATGTTGAAACAATTCATATAAATAATAAAATGATTAAACAAACATAACATTGTATGAAGTTTTTAAATTTAACTTTCTTCGTTTGCTGTACTCTTTGAACCAATAACTAAATTAATGAATTAATAAACCTCAGGTTGGGAGTCCAAGCTACAACAGATGAGCCAACAGCTTCTAGTAAAATTAGTCTATCAGTCAATCAAACAAGCATCTAAACAAGCATCCAAACAATCAATCAATTATCCAATAAATAAATTATTCCATCAACCAATAAACCAGTGAATGAATTGATCAATCAGTCAATTAAACCAATAAATCAACACATCCATCAATTGATTAACTTAGAAACTAAAAAAAAAAATCCTACTAACATTTGACAGTAACATGGGTTTCGGTATAGCTTGGTACAGTGATGAAGCTAGCATCCATCGTATCAGCTACACAGTAGTAAGTACCACTGTCATTATGGCGAACACTACTTTTAGTATATGTTATACTGAAGGCATTGCTGCCACTATCACTTTCGTTACAAATAAGAACAGCATCGGTATCGGGACACGCTGAAGGTGGTCTTCTAAAGCACATTTCATCATAGCCGAGACACATCCACATCTTAATTGGATAGTGAACTTCGTTCTACAGGAATACAACACAAAATCATCATAATACTAGTGTTGATTATTTGAGCTTTGCTAATCCAGCTCCACAGTATGGGTACCAAACATACATGGCTGATTAATAGGTAAAACACACCATAATTACGATAGACGGTTCCAAACAACCACGATTTATTAGTTGATATTGAACACAACATGGTTAATTAATTGATACCAAACACATAATTAATAGTTGACAATAGTTTCCGATGATGATCATAATGATGGTGATGATGATGATGGTGATGACGATAATAACTAAAACAAAAACCATATAAACCTACCCCTAAGGTCTTTTTTACGTTGCAATCTATTTTAAGTTCATCACTTGTGTTAAGAATGGTTTCCTTCTTTATCGGTAGAGTTATCTTAGGGTACAGTTCTTTACAGTCTGGTTCGCACGGGCGGCCGAGATAAACACCTACGTTTATAATAATAGTTACTTGACAAAATAATATTCAAAGTAATTACCTGTAGGCTGCCCCACATGATGCCGACTAATAGAAGTGATACTGATATTGCTAAACAATAATAATGCATGTTTGAATATTTAGATTGTGAATAGTCTATTATTGTATTTGTAATAATAAAAAGGGATATGTATTTGAACTGGCACCACATTAAAATTTACACCAAAAAAAAATTATATATTAAAATTATAGACAATTAAAACACAATCATACAAAAAAAACCACATTTTTATAATTATTAATGGTAGGCCTACTATTAAATAAGACACTTAATTTATCATCAACATTTTAACGAGTTGACATTGAAGACAAAAAGATAATCATTAAGAAGGAAAGCTAGGCCCAGTAAAGGAAAATATTAACTGCCAAATATTCGAGTAAACTGATAGGTGTACTATCAGATAGGCCCGTAATCAGGGGCAATTATTCGACTGAAAAGGGGTTTCGGCAACCTTCACCCTCCGCATAGACCTCAAAAGGCCATCATTAATTTGTTGGGGACCACTGCATCCTGCCCCTCATTGAATCCAATGATTAGTTAGATTCAGCGGATATAGCCCACCATATGAGTGATTCAGCAGCCAGTTAACACAGCCAAGTCGTCAAGGAGGTCGGCCCCAGCTGACTGGGAACTCTATATTAGAATTAATAATTGGGAAATGATTTTTCCCTGACAACTTACTTGTAATAAACATTTCCCCGAAATTAACATTAGAACTTACAAGAGAGTTTATTCTATCATTTGCCGTCGGAAAACACCTCGTCAAAGAGATTTTTCTCCCTTAAGATTTCTTCCGGCGAAAAAAGTTAACGTTCCCCGACAAAATGTGGGCCACGACGGAAGACTGCCCGATTTTCGTAGGAAAACACACCGTAAAACTCAACACATATATAGTTGAATTATTGACAAAAAGCTTCGCATAGCCTAATGCTATTAAAACCCCTATTTAATTTATAATGTGTGGCGTCACAATTTGAATAACACTGATCTTCACATGAATACACGACGACAATTGAGTCTCGAAAGAAACGCTTGTATAAAATCGGTTTATAGGGAAGAAAAAAATCTGGAAACAACTGGTCAATCTCTATACATAAGGTTCACTTTTTATAATGTTAGTGTTCATAAGGATAGCCAGCTACTAGTAAAATATAAGGACTAGGCCTATTACCGTATTTATAGGTTTCGCTAAGTAGTAATAAAGAAAAACTTTCACTTAGTCATTTTATAAAAGATCAATATTAATAAGTTTCACAGTCATAATCAATAAAAGGGGTTCAATAGTCATAATCTAAACAAAGGACTGCTATTCCGGGATGGTGTCCGTCGAAGGATAGTTTTACCATGTAGGGCGTATGTTTTAGGTCATTACAATCACAATCTCCTTGATGATGATGTCCGGCGGGGGATACTGTAGCTTACCTGATATTGTTACATTATAATAATAATATGTCGTTCTTATATAGCGCTTCATGCCTTTACAAGGCCTCTAAGCGCTTCACATTACTACCCCTGTCATTGGATCAAACACATATGAAACACATTGAACACCAAATTAAATTAGTAAATGACATTATATTATCATTCCATAATATTGTGTTGGAACCTACCAGGTACCCACTTGTACTCCTGGGTGGAGAGAGGCAACCGTAAATAAAGTGCCTTGCCCAAGGTTGGGCGTCCAAGTACAACCGGTGCGCCAACCGCTCCTACATTGTTATCTAGTTATTATTTCTGTTATTTATTTCTGATCAGACCCTTGCAGTTGTTTTTCTATGTAAAATGATTTTTACAAATGACAATAAATTGTACTGAAGACCTTTTATGACTAATGAACCATTTGTTTCACTCGTGAAATTGTTTTTCTATTATGAATAGTGAGCCTTATGGATACAGAACTTTGGGAGACATTCACGGTTTATAGAGGCCTATTGGTTAATTTATTTTTCTTTCTTGTTGGTTTCAAAATTAAATGGCAACTGTTGTTGATAAAGGTTTGATCCTCGTAACTTTGCACTAAAACATAAAAGGGGCCGACATGCCCAACAAGGGAGTCCGAACCAATTTGGATAGCCAAATTATCATTTTTGGTTCTACGACCTCGTCGCGGCGTCGGACGACGGGGATGCTCTCCCTGCCTTTCCACTGGCGCCACCACGGCATCATACTCAAATTGATCGCGTGTCAGCTTATTTTTCATTCTCTAATAAGGCAATAAGATTGCAAATATGCTTGATGGATTTAAGGCTCGAAATATGAGCTGTAGTGGCCGCCCCCCACCAACAAGCAGCTGCAAATTATGATATATTACTATATACATTATAGCCCAATATATTTATTGTCCTTTTGTTTCTTTATATGTTTTTGGTAAAAATCACTAACATTGACAGCGCAATTGATATGGCACTTCGGTCAATTAAATTAAGCTATATAAATCTACATATAATAATGTTATATGCTGGAACACCAGCGTCGAATCCTGCTTTTTCTTTTCTTTTCTTTTTCTTTTTAGCGGAGGAAGAAGCGAGAGGGGCGGGAATGATCCCGGGAAGTTCTGGAATTGCAGCAATCAATATAAACATATCGGAGTATTGGTTAGAGATGTTTAGCTTTCTGTCGGTGGGGGTGTGCTCCTACCTGCACCTGAATACGCAACCACACCTCTTAATCCCTTCGCTCGGAGCAGGTCATCGATTGCTGCTCCCTCCTCCAGGCGGAGAGATACCGTACACTAAATCCACCACCCCCCTCAGGCCTAAATGGTGCTGTGGCTAGATACGCTGTCGTAGCAGTTTTCATAGGTAGGCCTAATTGTGATTTTCGTTTCTATCAGCAGTCAAGTATTATAGATGTAACATCTGACGTTTATATAATCAAAAAGGAATTACTTGACGTCATAGGGGTGGGGTGGGTTTGCGCTCCCGGGGCCTATTAGATTGTGTTAATACTATAATTATATTATTTCAAGCCAGCCGATACATACCTTGGCCAATCGATAGCTCATTTGCGAAGCCAGCATGAGTGTAGGCAACGCTAAAAAGAAAGCAGGAAACAAGTTCTAGAACACGTACATCTCTCATGGTAGTACAAAAGCCTATATACAATGTGTATTAAAATACACCTACTGTCGGGATAGCTTATAGGGCTGCCTGGTTTACCACCGTTGTCATAGAGTAATTGTATTATAGATCGATACAGACCTACAATCGGAAGCCGACCGATAGTCAGACCGGAAACTGAATGAACTGCAGGACAATAATACTGTTCTAAATTAACAGCACTGGGAATTCCACATATTTTTCAGACGTTTGATAAAACAAAAACAGGATACATTGAAGACGGATATTAGCGTCATGTGTGGGATATGCAATAGTGGATAGAAATTGACGCAAAAGATATAATTGTGTACAATACCTTAACGAAACTAACACGATGATGATGATGATGATGATGATGATGATGATGATAACATATTATAAAAGATACTGATAATGGTAACTATTAGGCATATCTTGTATGTTGCCACTGAGGAAATTAGTGAATAATAAAAAAATAATAATATAACAATAATAATAATTAGGCTATACTTGGCAAAATAATTAGGTTTTTCTGAATCATGCCTGATGATGTCTGTATCTAAAGATCACCTGATTGAATCACGGTTTATTGCTTCTAAATTTGTGATCGGCTATTCGGATCCATTATTCACGATTTGAGTTACAGGCTGAGCAGTTACGTTAGAAGATTGAAAAAAACTTCATACAACTAAAAAGACCCTAATATTTGAATAATAATTATGATAGTAATATGATAATCATTATAACAAGTGACAATTATTTAATAAAATTTATATTTATATTTTGATAATTGTCATTGTTATTGATATTATTACCATAAGATTCAGCTTCAGCATGGTACATTTTTAATTATTCGATTATCAAATTAACCTGTTCATTTCCGTTAAAGTATGTATCAAGATTTTGATGTTGAATCCGCATATGGATCTTAGGATCAACATTTTCGACCAAGCTCCTCGCACAGCGAGAGGCACGTCGCTGTTCCGTGGGCCATTTTCGGGTTAAATGGCTATTTTATTTTGTTTACATCGTCCGTTATCCGCTACCTTTTGTCAGATTATTCTGTACGTTTGTTATACTTATGTTATAGTTCAGTTATTTAGGCAACTTGTTGTTTTTATTTGAATTTCAAAAGCTTAAAAAAGTCCCTGTCTTTTTGAATTTTTGTAAGCAAATGACCAGGGCCCATGTAAAAGGCCCTTTCTCTAGATTTTCAGAGGGTTCTGTTGTCTTCAAATCGCTTTGTTGAGCATTCACCAATAGAAACGCTTCTTGTACACTTGCTAGAAAGATACATTATTATTCATAATTTTTTTGTGGTTTGGTAATTGACAGCTTGATACTGATAAAATTTACAAAAATATTGCGAAGAGGAACATCTTAAGCTAAAAATTGCAGATAAAACACATAAAAATACAAATAGAAATAAGTAAACATACAAATAGAGAAAAAACACAGAACACAGGTCCAACAGAAACACACAGACGGAACAGAGCAATCAAAAACATAACCAGACAATACAGAAAAGAAAAAACACATAAAAATACATACAGAACACAGAACAAACCTGAGAAAAAAAGAAAGCACACAAACAAGACAAAAAAAATCAAAAACAAAGAAAAAGACAAACAAAGGAATAAAGGAATTAACCCACCCAGAAAATAAGTCACTTGGTATTATGGATTAAAGATTGCGATAATATGGTTTTGATATCGATTCACGTAAAATTGTGAGAAAGGTTATTTAAAAAGTTGGCAAGACGATGAATAAAACCATTTTAGTGCAATTGACTCTGTTAAAGGGAACTAAAAATAGGTCATTACGACGGCCGGAGACAGGTCTATTAATCTTAAGAGAGAATAAAGAACATAAAGTAGTATCAAAAATAGAATTAACACATTTAAAAAGAAAAACCACATCAAATCTATTTCTCTAAGTGAGGAAAGAGTGTATGAAACAATATTGTCATTTTTAAAATTGTGATTTAAAAAATATAAAAATTTAGAGTGCACTCTCTCAATCAGATGGGCTTGTAAGAACGAAATAGAATTACAGTGTAAATAACACTGGAATAATCAAAAATAGGTCTAATCAAAGAAAGATGCAATATACAGCTGTGGGTCAATTACGCATGGTCATGTATTATACTAAGTTATCTGTGATTAATCAGTGGACTTTTTAAATACTCAGTACGTCCCCAATTACTGGCCAGTAAAATAAATGTTTAGAAAATTGTTCGTGTAGGAATCGAACCCACGACCTCCAGTTTATCTAGCCAGATAACAACCACTAAAAATGCTGCCAAATACACAGTACGTCCTTAAATACTAGCCAATAATCAAGGTTAAAAAAAGAAAGAAAAACCTGGCTTGTATGGGTATTGAACCCACGACCTCAAAAAAAAAATCTGGCTCGTGTGGGATTGAACCCACGACCTAAAAAAAAAAACATTAGCCCGTGTAGGAACCGAACCCACGATCGCCGAGTTTACTACCCCTGATCCACCATGACTAAACGGAAGGAGGAAGCACCGCGGCCCCTAATAAATGCGATGAACCTAGTACCATACCAAGTACCAGTCAATCAACTCTGACATGGCTGGAAAACAGGATTCGTATATATACAGCTGAAGGTCAATATTACGCATGGTCATGGTGTCAAAATAAGTAATAGGCCGTGGGCTAAGATGGTTTATTTTCGCTTTCCTTAGTACAGGAAATGTAGAATTAAATTTATAATCGATTTTTTATTGTTCCCATCTCCATAACTTACGCACCTTTTTTTAAATGGACAAAAATGTTGGGAAATATCAATTATGCAAATTAGAAAAAAATGACGTCATATTTACATACTGACCAATCATGTTACGCGATTGGATGCGTTGTACTCGTTGATGACGTCGCGAATTGCGAAGTAACAACAAACAACCTTTTCACGCCCTCCGCGGCTATCATGGATACTCATTGCTCCTGTTTAAATGCTATGCCAACTGCAGACGAAAAGGTTACAGAGAAAGCTGGAAGAAATTTTTAGACAGTGTTCAGCAATGGAAGGATTTTAATACTGAGGAATGGAAGTTAGCAAAGTCATTGGCTTGCCTAACCGTTTTCCTCAGTCGTTTTTTTGTCCAACGATCTAGGCTCCCTCGGATTAGCAGTAAAGTAGTACTGATGATAGGATTAGTGACAATAACGCTGGCTACCATCGCCAGTTCTACGCACGATTTACCGACAATTGCAAGTAGAACCAGCAAGAAAAAAACTTTAAAGAGAAACTTAGACAGGTATTTGTACAACTAGCCTAGCCTTAGTTAGGCTAGCTATTTACTTAGTTTAGAGCAGGGGCCTATGCCTACTACTCAGGCCCTGGCTCTTATTTTTTTTTAGGCCTGCCTATACTTGTCATTCTAGGCTAGCTAGGGCCCTTAATTGAATAATAATATAATATAACGCATGATGTAAAATGTACTCACGATAAATATTTCATGAAGAGATAGTATAAGTATACTTTACATTGTACGTTATATTATCAATTAAGGTAAGAAATTGCTTACAGAAAATACTTCAATAACCATATGTCGTACTGTATATGGCCTTAACAGCAGTGAATAGGTAGATGCAACATAATCGATTATTATTATTATATTTTTATTAATTATATATAAGTTCATAAATTCATTAATGTTAAATTATTGTTATTAAAATATTATTGCTATTTAATTGTGCATAATATTGTTAGGTATAGGCTAACGTTACTACAGTAACTCAAATTACTAGAACAATTCTTATACAATATTATTTTGTTTATTTACATCTTTGAATGAGACAGACAGATAATTATTAAATAAAAATTTGATAATACTTGAATTTCATATTGATTTTTAATGTTGCCTGTAGCCTATAACAGTGTGGGGGTGATGATTGTTAATAGCAGTACAGTATAATAAAGTTTACAAAACCATTTAATTAAACAATATAGAAATGCCAAAATCCTCTAAATTCCCTTTGGAGACTGGGTAAAAAAAAAAAAAAAAAAAAAGCCACAGGCCTTAATGCCAGCATTTCTTTCTTGTATTTAATTGATAAGCCTACATAGAAATACTGTACTGTATACGCAATAATAAATACAAAACACAAAGTATTGTTGCATGACCATTTTGAAATGTACCACCTCTTTTCATCACCGGAGTGGCGCCAGGATTTGCCCGAGGGGGGGGGGCTGATTCCCCCGACGAGGGCTCAGACTTAACTGACGAAAGCAATATGGGCGTGGTCGAGCTTTGATTAAAAGGTTTTGAAAGAAGCCCCTGTCCGGCCACAGAAGGGGCGTTTACGCCGAGGCCCATGTCAGGTATCATCCTACCTGCGAATCCTTCTACCACACTACGTAAGCTAGATCATACACACTAGCTACGTAGTGACTCGATAAGAAGAGATTAAGACATAGTGAAAATAAAATGATCTCAACAAACGGATACGTAATACTGTATAATGGAGAATGAGTCAAAGATTATCTACCACGAGAATCATGGAAAGTGAGTCACCTTGATAACTCACAAGATATTAAATTTGGTAGCCTTTATCATCAGTATGCCTGTACTAATAATATTGATGACATTATGATGTCATTTCATAATGCAACTTAATGAATCATTGTTGTAATAAATTAAATTATTCCGGAAATGGAAATTATATATCGCAATCTGTTTTAAGTAAATAAATAAATAAACAAACAAACGAACGAATAAAGAAACAAAGAAATAGATATATTAAAGAAAATAAATAAAATAAAATAAAATATAGACAGATAGATAAACAAATAAATATAATAATAATAATGATAATAATAATAATAATAATAATAATAATAATAATAATAATCCTACTAACATCCTTACATTGGATGCAGAAATTTAACATTCTATTAAAGTATCTATTTTCAATTTTGATGTAGTACAAATTTATATTATTAATCATTTTTATGTTAAGGTTTTTAACATTTTTTAAGGTTCCGTTATCATCTTAAACATTCGCTAAAATCAATTCATAATATAAAACACAGTCAACAATGTTAATTTTATTAACATTGACACTAAATAATCGTCATGTTAGAAGAACATAATTAGACATTATTAATATGCACATCAACATTAACCTCATTATAATTATCACCATTATTATTTCATTTTTTAAATTCTATTTTTTAGTTTATTCCTTTTAGCAAGAGAATACAAAATAAATTAAAAATTACAATTTTAAAAATTATTTATAATTTTACTTTTAAACAAGATGCGAGAAAAAACGACAAAAAAAGTCTCCATGAAGACTATTCCAAGTTTGATCGAATCGAGCCATATTTTGTAGTGTCTTTCTTGAAATTTATTTGTTTAAATTGAGTAACTTAGGACGATGGTTAAATACTTTTTTTAAAATACTATTACAAAAATTGCTAAGGATACTTAATTACAGACATTTAAAACTAGAAAAATAATCCCTGAGTAATTAATTAAGATGATGATCTTAATTTTATTGATACAAAAATAGCGCTTAAAATATTAGAACAATGGTAATTGAAATGATCAACTATAAAACCCTGTCCAGTCTATTAAAAATTATTTGACAAAAACGTGTGAGTGCCGCACCCAACTTTGATGTTTCCAGTGAGCTTTCAAAAACCTCCAAGTACTGCTTTTACACCACTTTATTCTCAATTTTAACGTTGTTAATATATGATAGGTGTCGGGCCGTAAAAAAAAAAAAACAAAAAAAAACAAAAAAACAAAAAAAAAACATGGTTGCGTTCTAGCCAGTGTTGCTTGGCGGGCTGCACTTATAGGGTTTTTAATTCATGTTCGTGTTTCGATGCGCGTCTTAGTACGCGCCTCTATTCTTTACCACTGATATTCTTTTTTTGTTTCGTTAGCCATACGAACCGAATTCGGCTTCGGTGTGAATGCAGCTTTACCCCCCTGATTTACCTTACGCAAATACCAATACATTTTACGGAATACAAAAATACATATATATTTCTTCAACTTATAATACACAGATAAAATAATATACAGTATAACTGAATGTAATATACATGATATCTGTAGACTGTATATCCACATAAACATATATAACTTAATAGCGAAGACAAACTTGTTTACTTCATACATAATTTCCAATCCACTAATCCTCGCTTCTCTTGACAATAATGTTCTCTCAGCAAGTTCAGAACTTCATCGTTGCTTCATCATAACTAAACTGTTCTTCCTAAAGTTACTCAGGAATATTGCCTCTTTCTGCACTTCTAAAATGTAAAAAAAATATAGATTAACTATAATCTAGGATGGTTGCAACATACTTTCACGTAGTGAATGCTAGGAATGCTAAAGCAACACTAGCATTTTATTGAAGTACATTTTCATATCTTGTTTATTATTGTATTTAGGCCTTTGTTGTCTAGCCAGTTTCCAATAGGCATGGTGTCACATGTAACACTATGTAATAATTTGTTTTATTACAACAATTAAATTTAATATTTAATTGTCATTTTCAATCATTAACATTTATACAAAGTTGTATTTTATTATAAGCATAATTTATCTTGTTAAACATAATTTGGTACCGGTAGTCATTATTCAATATTTATTTTTGTCGAGCCCACTCGATCATAAAACCCTTCTCGGAACCATGACATAGGCTTGTTTCGGACCAATGTAGTATTTTTTCGACCGTTTGTGGGCAAATTTCTTGACCCACCCCTGGCTTACCATAGAAATGCAGCACACAACAATGCTGACGATTACTCCAAAGACTCCTCCGAGACTAGCAGCGATCGCCAGTCGTAAACGGGTACCTTTAAGACAGAATAAAATAAAAAATAATTTCTTTTCTCTTGAAACTATAGTTATGAGAATATTTGATAATAACAACAAAAGATAATATTCTAATGATAATGATTTTAATAATGACAATAATAATGTTAATCAATCAATCAATCAATCAATTATTCAAGCATGATATTAATTATTTTTAATAGTAGGCCTAATAATTGCATAAACAATAATATTTATAATAATAAAGAGCAGCAACAATAACAACAATGATAATAATAATAATTATGATAATTACAATAATAAATAATAATGTTAATCAATCAATTATTTAAGCGTGAGTAAATTTAATAATAGTAGGCAGAATAATTGCACTAACAATAACAATATTTATAATAATAAAAAGCAGCATCAACAATAGCAACAACAACAATAATAACAATAATAATAATAATAACAATAATAATAATAATACTAATAATAATAATAATAATATTAATAATAATAATAATAATAATAGGCTAATGAATGGTAACCGTTATTACGCAGTATTTAAGCATAATTATTCAATAATTCGTTAAGAGATGTTTACCGTGAGTTTCTTTAACATCATCTTCGGCCAAGCACGGAAAAATTCTAAGCATGGGAAGTGACGGCCAGAAAAAAACAGTGCAAAAAGATAGAAAAAATATATGCAAGGAAAAAAAAAATCAGAACAACAACAACGGCTTTTCCCAGTACTGCTGGAAAAAAAAAAAAAAAAAAAAAAATGGCTAGTACCAAATACATTCCTAATCATTTATATTAAATGAATGGTAACCGTTTATTATGAAGTATTTTATAATTATTCAATAATTCTTTAAGAGATGTTTACCGTGAATGTCTTTAACATCAATTGTCGTTGTAAATGTGATATGTTCTAAGCGGTTCTTGCACACGCAGTAATAGTCACCTTCATTTGTGTTTGAAATATTATGTAAACTATACCACTTAGTTCCGTTCTGTATCACTTGGTCACCCTGATACCACGTGATCGACGGCTCGGGATAACCATTGCAAAGACAGATGAGGTCAACATTGTTCGCTGGTCGCGTCACAATCGACTTCAATGATGTTTTTTGGAATTTCAAAGGAATCTTATCTGTTAAATGTGAAAGAAATTAATGTATGCTTCCAATGAAAAAAAAAAAAAGATTAATGCCCACTTTCTGGAAATTGCCTCATCTCCTCCATCATTTACTCAATTATGACACAAAATACTTCATTGGCTCACAGACACATCGTTCAAAACACCGATACGCAAATCACATACACTTTTAACATAACCAAACACAGAAACAAACAGCACCGTACTCTCTAAATACGTATGGAAATTAACAGACAGCAACACACATTCTACATATATAGAATAATATAGAATATGAATATGA